AAGAGTTGACTGTAATTCTATGCTACTCTCTTCCGCTTAGTGAATTTTCTTGCATATTTTATTTATTTCTTTCTTCTTATATTTATTATTTATTATTTCTTATTTTTTTTTCTATTATGTGCTACAGCTTAAGGGTTCACTAGAGAAATACTTATTAACTAAGTAAATATTACCCTTACAGTAACCTTTTAAAGTCTTTAATCTTCAGTTAAGAAGTACAGTAGTCCAGCACTAAAAGTACATTTTTGATGATTTTTCATCTAGTATAGACTACCTGTAATAGCTATACTCACAGTTACAGGCTTACTAGATTATTAGGTACTATCATCTTTGGATAGAAGGTTCATTTTAACCATAGAACTTGTCATACTCTATTTTCACTAATCTAATTTATAGGATTTGACCCTATTAATGACTACTAAGATTATGGATCAGGTACTTTACATAGATAATAATTATGTATTCATAATATCAAATGCACTTAAAAATCGAACCTAGTCTTTATCCCTAGTGATAGCTCGATTAGATATTACTGCAATCTATTATCACTATAGCTAACCTATAAGTAGTACCCAATCTACTAATTACTGGTTGACTACTTCTTTACTTATGTAAAAGCTTCTGAATTTAAAGACGTAAGACAATATCCATTATAGACCTATCAGTAATAGCTAAGTTTCTATCAATTTCTGACTTTATTTGCATTTACATATTCTTCAAACCTAGTATTTAAGTATAATCAATATTGATCAATAGTAAAGATGGTGCTGTAACTAGTTGCAACTATGTGATACTTATTTGTCACTGGTTGTAACTAGTTGCAACTTAATTTTTATTAATGTTGCAACTAGTTGCAATCCTATAATGCTTATTTGTCACCAGTTGCAACCAGTTGCAGTGCCATCTTTAATCAATAGATTGATTGATTAGTTTCTAATGCATATTAGTATATACGTTTACTTATTCAGTTATATATAAAATTCTTATAAAAATCATCTAGTTTTATACCTCAGCTAAAATCTGAACCTGTGACTATTACAGTATAACTTATAATAAAAGTTCAGTTATTACTAACTAAACTAAAGACGTCAATGCCTTTATTATTTCTTATTTTAATAAATTATCTTTTAAAGCTCAAATTTTGTGTAAAACTTGAATAAAAAAATTATTATAATCACTTGAATTAAATATTTATATAATCAAATAACCTAAACTACTTTAAAACTAATAACAAAATATTTTAATTTATTACAGAACTATAAAAAAATTAAATCTCAAACATTTTTTCTAACTATCATAATTCATAAAGATTGTACATTAACACTAGTCATAATTAAATATTACTTTAAACTTACTAAACAAATTTAGAAGTTTAGTAGATTATCTAAATAGTAAAAGATAAATTTAATAAATTATATAAAATCTTATTAAAAATAAGCAAAACTCAAAAAAAGATAAAACTATATTAAACTTATAAAATGATAAAGTTATATCAAAAGCTTAAAAAAATTAATAAAACTAAAATTTAAATATTTAAATAGTTTAGATAAACAATCTTAATCATAATTTTATATTATTATCTTTATATTATATTAAATTATTTTTTTAAATGATTTTAAAATATATAATAATTTAAATATTTATAAGAAAGAATATATTTATTTAAGAAAAAATTCAAAATATTTATTTAAGTACTTGTATTTAAAATTATTTTTATACTTTTTAAATATACTTATATTTTTTTTACATAATTTTTCTATTAAACATCTATAAAATTTGTAAATTTTTAAAAAATCTTCATAAAAATTAATATATTTATCCTTTAGATTATAGTCAACTTTTAATATAGTGAATTCTTAATATAATAAATTTTTTGAATAAATATAATAAAAATATTTTTATTATATTGAATTGACCAATCAAATCTCTTAAAATCTTTGCTATAACGTTATAACAAGAATTAACTATATATATATTTGTAAGCAAAATTACTTATTAATTAATTAAAATAAAAATTAGAAAAATATTTTTACAAATAGGTTACAAATCACATAATATAACTGTCAAAAAAATTTAAAAAATTTTTTTTAAATTAATTTTATTATATTATCACTTAAAGTATAAGTATAAAATTAATTATAAAATATTGTAAAAAAATTATAATATTTTAATATCTAGTAATCATAAAATGATAAAATAAAGTTTATTAAATTTGTTATATTAAGATATATCTAATAATAGTATTTTTAAATTTTTAAAATTAGTAATTATTAATATACAGTATATTAATTTTTTAATTTTTTAATTTTTAAAATAATTTATTATCTAATAATTACAAAAATATAAAATTTAGTTTATTAGATTTAGCTTATTAAAATCTATTAAATAATTATATTTTTATATTTTTAAATTAATAAATAGTAAGATATATAATTTAAAATTTTAATTTTTTCATAATAATTTATTATATATTTATCTTAAAAATATTACTAATTAATTATATTTTTTTTGAATTTTTACTTAGAAAAATCATAAAATTTATTATAAAAATATTAATTTATCATATCTAATATTTGTTACAAACCTATTTGTAACTTTTAGAAATTTCATTATTTAAAAAAGTCTATATCTCTAAATATAATTTGCAATAAATATAAAAAATAATTATACTTATTAATTTTTAAAGTATTATTATATAAGATAATATTAGAATAATAAGATTATAATAAAGTTTGATTTAATATTATTCAAGATATTTTATAAAGTTTATCACTATTTATATTAATTAATAGTTATATAAATATCACAAAATCTTCTTTTATTATTTAAATAATTTTATCTGATCCATTAATTTGATTTTTGCATTTAATCTTTTAAATATTTGATAGATCTTGAGTAAAAAAAAGTTAGTCAGAAAATAATAGTTGTAAGAGATTTATATAATATAAGAATCACAATGACCATATATAACTATATATATAATTTTTTTTCATTATAAAATAATCAAACCTTTAAAATTATATAATAAATCTTATATTATTAATAAATTTATGATTATTATTAGAATATATAAGGATAATATGCATAAAATTATTATTCTTAGGTTTAATGAAATTAATATGCTATTTGTAATCAGTTTATTAATCTTTTATTATATTGTAGCTCAATCAATTTCTTTTTATTAGATTTAAACTTTTTAAAATATTTATATATATATATTCTTTTTTATACATTTCATTCAATCAAGTCAGATAATTAATTTTTATAATATTTAATCTAATATCTAATAATAAAAATCCTTTCTTCTTTTTAAACATTTTTATATAATTTTTAGTTATTATTTATAAAGCAAAATGATTTTAAGAGATAATCTTAAATTTTAAGATATCATATAAAAATTATTATTAGTAAAATTAAAAAAAATTCTATTGATAAAATCAAAAAAACCCTTATTAATAGACTATGTAAGCCATTAATAGAAAATTTTCAAATCATTTTAAATTAGTATCTTTTAGAACAAGACTAAAAAAGCTAATCAATGAGTTGATCGCAATATTAGCAATTTTAAATCTTCTTTAAAATTTGAAGATTTAAAAATTCATCTATGAATTATTTATATTCATATTCATATTAAGAAATTCTTAGTCTGAATTATAATTATGATTGAGAGAATCAGAGTTGCAAATAACTTAATTTTATTTTCATCAAGGAAAAGTTTATTATTATCTATAGTTATGTTATCATTCGATAAGTAAAAACTTTCTTTATTACTAGAACTGACTTTCATTCAAGTTTTTTGTTCAGAATGATAGTAATAGTATGATTATAAGTTATTTGATATTGATTATGCCTTCTTTATTTCGTTCAAATTTCAATAAGCTGTGAAGTGAAAATTTTTTCATCAAACTGATCGTAAATATTATCAATCATCATAATATTATTAGAATGAAGATTTTGAAAAGAATCAGTTACATTTAGTTGAACTTCAACCAAAACTAGTCTAAAATATTTTTCTGAGAAAGGTGTTTGATTATTTGCTTTTTTTTTGCTATTCTTCATTTTAGATATATAGGCTTAATACAACTTTTCTTCCTCTTCATATTCTTATTTTGTTCTTATATTTACAAATCTACAATTGCATTTTTTACAATAATAGTGTATTTTTACTCTAATCCTAATAGCTTTTGCTACTAATTATTTAAAATTTTCATTATTTGTATAATGCATAATCACAATAAATGTGTATATATATATATTTTATAAATGCTTATATAATAAGTTTATTTTATATTAAAAATATTGTAACAAAATCAATTAAATTACTTATTCAGTATTTTAAAAATAGTTAAATCAATCAGCAATATCTAATATAATAATCTAAAAAAGTTTATTTAAATAGACTAAAACTTTCATATTTTTTTACTCTTTTCTGTAATTCACCTGCTAATAATTATGACTAAAAAATATAAATATTCTTCTAATTATAACAGAAGAAAAAATTATTTAAGAAGAAATAAGAGAAGAAAAAATGATAGATATTGATTTTCATAATACTAATATAAGAAAATCAAGCATAAGAACTGATGAGAAATAAATTCATAAATAATATATATTAATAATCGATAACATTAAAATATAATAAAGCTATTATTTTTTTTTTTAGTAATAATAAATATTCTTACTATAATCAGTATTATTGTACATCATTTTATGATATATCTTGCAATACATTACAATCTGTGAATTTTAGGTTTGAATTCAGATGATTCATCAGAAATTAAATATTTAAAAGGAATTATTGAATAAGGAAAACTAAGAAAAAACAATATAAAAAAGAAAAGGCAACCATTAATTAAAGTTAACATAATATAAAATTAGGAAAAAGATTAGAAATCTACTATCAATAGATCAAAAATTACTAAATAAGAAACTTCTAGAATATATCATAAGATTTAAATCCCATTATTAGAAATCGTTTCTATTTTATAACACCAGATTTTATGTTGAATAAAAGACAGATTTCACTTGCTACTTCTTCAGAACTGTAATCTATATTCATCACTCTTCTAGAACTATAAACTACACTTATTACTCCTTTAAGACTGCAACCTACACCTATTATATTCTCTAAATTAGTAATATAAATCTAAATATTTATTTACTTAGCAACATATTTTATTATTTTGATATTAACACTAAAGTGAAAATAGTAAAAGACTAAAAAATTAAAAGAAATACAAAAAGAAATAGAAATCAATTTACAAAAGTAGTGAAGAATTTTCTGAATCTGAAGGAGAATCTTTTAGTTTTAATAGAGAATCTTTCAGTTCTGAAAAAAAATCTTCTAATTCCAAACAAAGATCATTGCATCAATGATCATTATATCAAAAAGACTTATATATTAAAGATATGCTAGAGAACCTTAAAAATGCTTTGAAGTAAGTAAATTTATTTAATTTATAAATTTTATTTAATTTGTAATTTTACTAATATCATAATTAATTTAATCTAGAGAAAAGTTTTTAGATAATTAAAAGAATTCTAGCTGAAAGCTAATTGGATTTAATAATATCTTTTATTTACAATGCAATCTTATCAATAATATAATCATTCTAACTGTAATGTTAATTTTAGATCTTGATACTTTTCCTATTACAGATAGTATTTATATTATATTATTCATACTTATCATAAATATCAACATGAATAATATTTGAAAAAATCACAAGATGCAAAATATAAAAATAAATAAGTATGACAAAGAAACTTAAACAGTCGCAGAAATGCTATAAGTAATAAATATAATATATTTATTATTAGTTTAATAATTAACTTTATTTCTTTTCATCTTTAAATATAAAACAAATTTTATGGTTTAAAATGATAGATAATTTATAAGTGGCTAAGGATCTTTTAGTCTAGAAATTTAAAGAAAAGGAACTTAACCAAATCAAAAAAATTCTGCATATCATTTACCAAAAGTATTCAAAAAAAATATAAATAATTCTGATGATAAATGTAAGTTTATTATTAAAAATCTTAGATGATGCTCATCAACTATAAGTTTATTAATAATTAAATTTTTAATACAAATTAGCATATGGGTTGATTACTAGAAAAATCAGGTTCTAGGAATTTTTTAGCAAAATTGAGATTTTTATTGCATTTTAGTTTTCGAAGTTATTAGATTAAAATATATTAAGCTTTAAATTTTAGTTAAAAATTTCTCAGAACCTGATTTTCTTAGAAACACTTTCATATATTAACAATTACTAACAATTACAATTTATATTTTACAACTTCAAGTATTTTTAAGAGATTATATTAATCAATTATTTGCAGAAACTTTAAAGGTTCTAAAAAAATGAGTAAGAGTTTATAATATTAATTTATATGAAAAAGAATCTTCAATATCATTTTAGATATTAAAGTGAATGATTGAGAATTATTAAGACTTCCTAAAAGATGTTATTAATAAGATTTATAGAAATGGAGCTTCAAATGTAAATGTGTTTTCTGCAGTAAATCAATAGAGAATAGATTTCTTTTCTTAATTTACACTCAATTTTTTATATTAATATACACTTTTGCGTCAAAAGTTTAGGACCACCCCTCTGAGATCTGCATAAATAGTCCTAAATAGTAAAAATTACGTATTTATGTAATATAAATAAAAAATAATTCATAATATTTATTGATTAGTAATGATTATTACACAAAATTTTAGCTTCATTTTTTTTTTATTTAAAAAAAAATAGTTAAAAAAGCAGAACTAACAGATTTTGAACGTGAAAAAGTTATTGGCTTTCATGAAGCTAGTGACTCTAAAAGAACTATTTCAAAAAAAACTGGCTATAGCAAAACTATCATTCATAATATAATAGTCAAATATCATAAAACTGATGCTATTACTGTTACTTCTAGAAGTGGTCAACCTAAAAAATTAACTGAATAGGACAAATAGCATCTTAAGGCTATTATTAATAAAAATTGACATGAATCTGAAGAAAAAATAAGAAAAATTTTTATTGAATCTACTGAAAAGGATGTAAATAGACATACTATACAATGAATATTGTATAAAATAGGATATAACAATTGTACAGCCCTAAGAAAGTCTTGTATTAGTGAATATAATTAATTGAAAAATGTGCTTAAATTAGGCTCGAGAAAGATATTTATGAACTATAGATAATTAGAAAAAAATAGTATAGAGTGATGAGTCTCAATTTACTATATTTCAGAATGATAGAAAAATTAGAGTTTGGCATTTTCAAAAAGAAAAATATAACATTAATTATCTTATTCCAACTATGAAGTATGGTGGAGGTGAAGTCATGATGTAGGATATTTTTCATAGTTTAGGTTAGATCCTTGGAAAGAATTGATGGTTGAGTTAATAGTCAAAAATATATAGAATAAATACTTGGCTATCATATGATCTCTTTTTTGGAAAGCTTTGAAAAAGAAAATGGTAATTATTTGTTTCAACAGGATAATGCATCAATCTATACCGTTAGGACAAAAGATTTTTGTGAAGAAATGGAAATAAATCTGTTATCATGACTAGGACAAAGTCCTAACCTCAATCCCATTAAATATCTGTGGGATGAGCTTGAAAGACGCATAAGAGTAAAGCAAAATAATCCTAAAAATTTAAGAGAATAGAGGCACTTCTTTAAGAATGTTAATCAGAAATTTCATGTGAGGTCTATCAAAAGCTTGTAAAAAGCATGAATCATAGAATAAAGGTAGTTATAAAAGCTTGTGAATATTCTATGCAATATTAAGTAATTTTTTTATTATATTTTTACAAAGTGTTATAAATTAATATTTTTTTTTGCATTTTACTAAAAATTACGTTTTTTTTTATTGAAAAACTTTAATATTAACTTAGTTTTTATTTTATGGTGTTATAGGCTGAGAAAATTTTTTGTTATGTTATATATAACAAAAAGTTTAATAAAAAATTTTTTTTATATATTTTGTTTTGATACTTTTTTTTTTTAAAAAAATCATGTGATATAAATATGAATATATGATCATATAGAAATGTTGGTTACTAAATTCTGATAGTTTTTTTTTTTTATTTTTTAATAATAAAAAATTATTCTTTATTCATTAAAATAATTATAAAAGATTTTTTGTAATTTAATAAAATGTCGGTTGATTTAAAAAACCCATTTATTTTATAATTTATTATGTGATCCTAAACTTTTGATATGGGAGTGTATATAATAGGTAAATTTTAATTTAAAATTTGTATTTTATTTTGTATAATGTATAGCATAATGATAAGTATATATAATAGCTTTATTAAATAAAATAAATTTGATAAATAAATAAAAATCAGTTTATTCTGATTGTTAATTAAAACTGCCTAATTTAATTTTTGTTTAAAAGAATCAGTACATATCTGCTATATCCAATTATTCAAAATTCTTTAAATAACAGCAATCTGATTGCAATCTATACTAAACCAATTTATGTTTAAATTCATTTCAATTTTTATATGCTGATTGGAACTTGATTATTTATTAATTATTTACATAATTTGTATCAATAATCATCTAAAATCAGTATTTAGTAATATTATCTAATATTCACAAATTGGCATCCTATTAGAATCTAATAAGAAAGGTTATTAGCACCTAATTTGATGCTGATTTACCATTATTTAACCAGTATTAACTATAATAAATTCTATAAAAATCATATGATATTATATTTTAACTATAAAATTTAAAGGTTTTATAAGTTGTTTAAATAGTAAAAGATAAAATTTATTAAATTATATTAGAATCTTATTAAAAATCTATAAAATTCAAAAAAAGGTAAAACTATATTAAAATTTATAAAAATAGTAAAAATATATTAATACCTTTGTAAAAAATTAGCAAAAATAAAGGTTTAAATACTTTGTCAAATCTAAATAAGTTTAGATAAATAATCTTAATCTTAACTAAAAATTAAATTTATAATTATCATAATATTATTTATAATAAAATTTATAGATTATTTAAGTATTTTGTTTAATTTGTAATTATATTATAAATATAATCAATTGTTTATAATATTTAATTTGATAAAATTATTGATTAAATATTCAATCATTTAATCAATTATTATTAACTAATAAGATAATTAAATATTGTATATTTAGATATTAATTTATTTATAAAATTGAAAAAAATGTTTTAATTAAATAATACTTATTTTTGAATTATTATAAAAAATAAAATATATTTAATTTGAAAAATTCATAGTTTAATAATATCTGAAAATTTTTTAAATACTATTTAAAAGCTCTAAATAGTTTAAATTAATCTGAAAATTTTCAGTTCAATATAACTTCAAATCAGTTATGAATTGCATAAAATTAATTTAAAAATTTTAGTTAGTTTATTCCAATTGAATATTAAAAATATCATTTTATTGAAATGATCAAAATTATTATTCTAAATTAAAGATAAGATTGCAATTAGTTGTAATTAGTAATAAATAAACATCACAGAGTTGCAACTAGTTGTGATATTACCTTTGTTCTAAATGAATAATAATAATATTATTTAATTAGAATAATAAAATATTACTCAAACAAACAAAATAAATAATATAAATAATATTCAGTTGAAATAATAAAACATCATTTTAAATAAATTATAAAAATATTATTCAATTAGAATAATAAATTAAAATGATCAAAATTATTATTCTAAATAAATAATAAAGATATTGTTTAATTTAAATAATAAAAATATCATTTCTAGTGAATAATAATATTATTATTTAATTGAAATGATAAAATTATTATTTTAAATGAATGATAAAAAATATTGTTTAATTAGAATAATAAAAATATTATTTCAAATAAATAATAAAACATTATTTATTTAGAACAATAAAATCATCATTTTAAATAAATAATAAAGACATTATTTAATTAGAATAATAAAAATATCATTTTATACGAATAAACTTTCAAATTAATTTAAAATTTTCAACTTAGTTCAAATTTTTACATTTTAATTCAGATTCAAATTAACATTTTTTAAAATTAATAATATGAATTAAACTGGATTAAAATATTAGTTTAAATTTAGATTGACTTATAATCTAAACTAATATAAACTATTCAGGTATTAATATTATCTAAATCTATCTAAAATACTGATATATTTATAATAATATTTTTATTTCTTTTACAAATGATCTGCAATTATATAATATTTAAAATTAGCTATATATATATATCTAATTCAAAATTAAATAAATATATTAGTTATAAATAATAAATTAACTGAAATTATTAAAGTTAATAATAAAAGTTAAAGAATTAATTTTTAATAATTAGTTATTTGAATGATTCAAAAATC